TTTTTAAGAAGACTTCAGATCTCTAGATCCATGGTCTCTGATGTCAGCACTGAACCATCCAGGGGGTTAACACAAACTGGACAGCGCTCTTCTGCATCTAGGATTCCTGATTTATATAAGGTCGAAGGTAGGGCTGAACTTGTGTATATCCAAAACTCTTCTAGGTGTACTGATTCTGCTGGTCACAGGGCACTGTGAAAGCAACTATCTTGTATCCTAAATAAACAGAGACCAAAAAGAGAACAGCAAAAAGAAAAAAGCCACACCTCTCTTAATTATCAGACTTAGAGTCAAGAAAATGCTACAAGCATCCCCTCCTTTCTTAAAGAAACATTAAATAAAAAGTCAGAAAGAGTCTAAAAAATCGGGGAACAAGATCTCCAAACTTCAAAATATTACTGTTAATATAAAATGAATTTCCTTTCAGATAGTATACTATTTTTGTAGGCTGCGTGTGATGCAGTGCGACAAACCTATCTGTATATTAAATACCAACCTCACGTCACTTTAAAAAATTTAGCAGGGCTAAATAACTATAATTGAACAGAGGGATGTGCAAGAGTCTAAGGACTCTTGGGAGACACAAAGGGCAAACAGCCAAAGAGTATGAGAGAAAACAAACTGCCTACAGGGTCTGTGCCCAGCTGCCAGGTTTCCACAACCAGAACAAACACATGAAGGAAGAGAAGCTTCCTCTAAACTGAAAACACTTAAGGCCAATTTCCAAGCATGCAACAGCTTTTAAAGCCAACAACCTGACACATATTTGTAACAATTTTAAACTTTAAAAGCCATAAAGAAAACCTTAAAAGTTTTGAGGGGAAAACAACATGTTATTAAAGACTAATACAGATCAAAACGCATTGGGCATTTTCAATAGCATTTCAGGAGAAAATGGAATATTGTTTTCAAAGTTCAAACAGTGATTTTGAGCCTTGACTTCTACATCTTCATTTAAATAATCAAATACAAATACAGAACAAGGATTTCTTCAGAAATTAAAGAACGAGAAGAGCTGACTTCCTGAACAAACTGCTTCTCTCCTGAGAAGCTATCACAGAGGTCCAACAGGCGTCACCGAGTGACAGCTGTGGGGCGGGCAGAATGACACATGGCCTCTAGCTCCTTTCAGGGCCCCCTCATCTGGGGATCTGGCTCTTGTCCCTCTTTCTCTATGATTAAGCTAAACCTACCAGAAAATCTAAAGTTGTCCCTCCTTTCTCAGGATCTTTATGGAATTATGCCACAATTCTCTTTTGCCATTAAAGGCAAGCTACATGAAGTAAGATGGATCTGCCCACCAAACCACAGAACTCGAGGATATATCCAGAAAAACAAAAAAGAAATTCAAAAAAAAGACAAGATAAGTGAGAATCAAGAAAGTGTGTCCCTCACAAAGAAAGAGCTGTAAGGAAACGGGTTTTCTATTTTGGCTTCATGGGAGGATTCCCTTAGTGTAGGAGCACAACTTTTAAGAAACCACAACTTTCCTCTACACATCCAGTTCCAATACTTGGTTCTATAGTGAATGAAGCTGACAAGCAAATATCCTGAATGTGTAATATCCTCACATTTTCAGAAACGAAGGCCAAAATCTTGAGACATGAACATGCCTAGCTCTGCATTCTAGCAAATTCTGGATCCCTGTCTCAGCAGTACAGTTACAGACATAACAATGTCATTTTTCCATATGTGCTGTCCATAGAAAACTAAAAGTGCATGACAGAAAATAAGTGAAAAATATGGCCACAACTATACACATTAATAATTCTTAACTGTATTTCATATATTATATATGTATATATATAAATTTATACTTTATATAGTCACATATTTATTTATATATGTATTTAATATATAAAATGAAATATGCTAGAACATTTTTAAAAACTAGTAAGTTGAAAATAAGAAACCATACAAAACACACATTTCATATATATGAAAGAGAAATTAAATTGTGAAATACATGTGTGTTATTAACTAATTACTTATAGGATTACATAATATGTCCAGTGTTCATTTTCATTTTTTACTATCTAAGAAAACAGATAATACCCATCAAATGTGAGAACATGTGTACGCTTACAAACTACAGCTAAAATAAAAGACAGAGCACATTTCCTAGAGAACACATATATAACTTGCTTAGTAAGTACGTACACAATGTAAGACTGCCATTGGAGGGCCATCAAAGTGGTTCAAAGAGCACTTGCCCCACGGGCCCCGCAGCCTGAGTGTGACCCAGGACGCACAGGAGACACCCAGATGGTGGGATGCATCTGTAAGCCCGGATGCCCACTGCAAGATGGGAGGAAAGAACAAGAAAATCCCCCAGAGCTGCACGCCAGCTAGCCTGAAGCATGCAGCAGCGTAGCATGGAGAAAAAAAAAAAAAAAAAAAAGGAAGCCCTGCCTCAAAAACAAGGTGGAAGGAACCCAGTTCCCAAGCCTTTGACCTCCACACTGTATGCATGTATCTGCCCACACATTCCCAAACATACATACACAGTAATAGTAAATACAATTTTAAAAAATTCTTTTAAAAAACCTGATGTCATTGTAGTGAGCTTGGGAGGTGGCTCAGTGGTAGAGCAGCAGGGGCAGGCCTAGAATGCATAAGGTCCTACATTCAATCTCCCAGTCCCAGAATGAAATCCCACTGTACTTTGATTAGAATAAGTGACAAAGAAGGAACCAACCTAAATATTTGAAAAATCATATGGAAACCTATTACCAGAGAAGCTTCCTAATATATATATTTATATAAATAGAATTTAAGTAATTTAAATGATAAATAATTTAAATATAATGTGAGAGGCAATATCCCAACTAAACATCTTATGCCACCTACAGTTCAGGAATGGGTAACATCTTGTTGAGTAGTTGGCCAAAGATGTCCCACAGACACACCTACAAACAACTCAGGCTATTGCCAAGGCTACTAGTTAGTGTCCACTACCTGATGGTAAAGACCTATTGCCAAGACAACAGTTATTATGTCATTGAACATAGAGAAATAGAGTTAGTGCCAAATAGAAACTTCACAGCTCCTGACTAGAGTTCATGGTGCTAGAAACTAATTTGCATGCTATCAGAGAAGAAAAGTAATCACAAATTTCACACAGCTATAAATCCTGAGACCTGCTCCTGCCTGAAGATGTATTAATGCAATAGAGGCATAGATATTATGGCAGTTGCCAACCACTTTTTGATTGGATTTAAGGCCCACTCCATGAGATGTATCTACACCTGACCCTGCTAGGGTGGCCAAGAACCTGAGACTATATGGGTCACAGACCTAAAGAAAAACCCAATACTATTATTCTGCTACAGAAACACAGCAATAAAATAACTCCTAAGGATGTATTGCTATACCCATAAATGAATGCATCGCTCAACCCTCATCAGAGAAGCTTCTTCTTGCAATAGATGAGAATTAGCACAGAGACCCACAATTGGATAAAGTGCAGTGAGAGAATTTGGAATATTCAGCCAAAACTGGGATGTCTTCATCAAACCCTTTCCCTTAAGATTCAGGGATCTATACAGTAGCAGGCAGAAAGATTCTAAGAACCAGAGCCATTCCTTTAATGACTCCAAGGAAATAGCATTCCCAATACAACAGGGCTAATGCTCAAAAAGATCCTGTACTAGTTGAAAACAGACAAAATACCAGTACTGAGAAGGGGAAGTGGACACAAACGCCCACCCCTTACCAAGACACATTCTGCCACTCATGCCTGCTGCAAACAAGAAAATCAGCTTTCCTCAGCAGAGTGTCATGGCTTTGTTTTATTTTTCCTGCTTTGTTTTTTCAGAGAGAACATGGAGTTAAGTAGGTAGGGAGATGGGGAGAATCTGAGAGCAATTCAGGGAGGGGAAAGAATATAATAAAAACTGCTATTTACAATTTTTTAATAAAAAGTAAAAAAAAAAAAAAAAAACTCCATTGGAGTAGGCTAGGGAGATCCATGGTAGAGAACCAGCCTAGAATGTAAAAATCCTAGACTCAACCCCATAGGGAAAAATAAATCCTATTGTCCTTTAACTGGAGTAAGTGTGGAAAAGCAAGAAACAACCTAAAAACTCACTCAAAAGAAAAGTAATCAATCATGAAAGCAGCAGCCAAAAGGATGAGGTACATGGCTGAAGGAATAGCTCAGCAGTTAAGGGAACTGCTGCTTTTGCAGAGGACAAAAGCTCTGTTCACAGAGCCAACATGGCAGCTCACAGCTGTATGCAACTCCAATTCCAGGGATCTGGCCTCCTCAGGCTTCTGGACACATGAACTCATACAAATGCACAAAGAAATAAACTATGAATATTTTAAAAAGAAAAAAAGGATGAGGACTGTCACAAAATATGCATGAACATGTAGATTTATCTTTATATGAAGAGACGAAAAGCTGAACAAATGCTTACAAAACTATTCTACAGTTAATCATGTAGTACAAAAGAGAAAATGGACAATCCTTCAATCCTATATTATCCACATATTTTATTCAAATTCTGTTCCAAAGGAATAACACTACTTTTATATATTTTTAACTTTTCTTATCAAGTTAAATAAGTTGAAACTTATTTCCACTGAAGCAGGCATAGGAGCACGTGCCTGTAAACTTAGGATCTTGGAAGCTGAAGCAGACAGGCTCTGAGTTAGCTTGGGCTACAAAGTTAAGATCTAGACACGCCTGGGATTCATACTACGGCACTAGCCTCAAAAAGAGATGGACGCAGAACATTACTAGCGCAGATATAGACTATAACAATAAGTATTTTAGAAAAATGGCATCTGTGCAAGAACTTGAAAGCCCATTACGGGCTACATGGTCAACATTTAATTGCAGCACCGCTGTTACTAAATGGAGCAGTACTAATGGCAGGATTGTTAGTCCCTTAAAAATGTGCAGCTGACTGAACTAGACTACAGCTTCAGGCAACATTACATCACTGCCTTAAAAGCATTGTAATGCATTAGTATTTCTAAAGATGAATACCTACCGAATCATTCGCTGCCAGCGCAAGAGCAAGGTTCACTAAAAGAAACAGAAAGAAGTCAGTTTAGTAACTCTCCTTCTGTGAAAATTAACTTACCTTTCAACATTTCCCTCACTTGTGGGGCACAAGCATGCGGCGAAGAACAAAAAAGAAAATAACTTTGCAACTACCAAAAGATGCTTGTCCCATTCTGAACACTTTAAATAGCTCATTATAGTCTGCTACAATTTTGTTCAAATGTTTCACTTAGTTTTTCTTAAAGTAATGTTAATGAATATATGTAGTTTACTTTCAAGTTTTATTCTTAAAAATTAATTATTTGATAAGTAATAGAGCCCATTTTTCTCCTTAAAATAAATGCTGTTACAGGTATCAGAGTACATAACCCACACATATACAAGCATACAAAAAGCTAGGACACTGTACAGAAGGGAGAAGATAGATGGTGGGGGGCAGAGTACAGTAGCCAAGCCGCCCATGCCAGTGATGCTAAACACAAGAGGACGAGAGCACTATCCCCCAAAACACAGGCGGCCAGCTCTGCAGCCAGGCTAGAGTTGAGAACATAGAGCCTACAGTACTGTATTTGCAAGACTGATAAATAAACAGGTTCTCATACTGCCCTTTTTCCACAGTCTGAGTCCCATTTCCTTGCAGAACAACGCTGTCAGTACTATCAGGAAAGTGGCTGCAAGCATAAACTGCAAAGCAGACCTAGCAAACCCAGCTCTGCCCCCTTCCATCACTGCTTCCCTGGCTACTATGTTATCTGTCTGCTTCCTCCTCTATAAAAAAAAAGGTATCTCCTACTTTTATAACTGCTGTGAGGATTAAAAGAATATTGTATATAAAGTTTTAATCTAGGGCATGGTACTTATAAATCTACTAATATATGACAAGTTAATTTTGAATTCTCACATTATTATTCATTGCCATTTCTTTAGAAATAAAAGATTTCTCTTGGAAATAACTATTAGTCTAGAGTGTTAATTCTATTTTAGAACCTGTAATATTTGGTGCTAAAATATCATCTTATTGACAAATTGCAATCACCAAAAAGGAGCACGAAAAAGATTCCCCATCGACTAATGTGCTGACGTAGAGCATACGAAGACTAGATGACCTGGCGGGGAGATGCCACCACATAGGTAATGACTTGTCAAGCAGGCATGAGGACCTGAGTGTGACTACAGCACAGGGAAGAACGGGAAGGACAGGCAGGCCCGAGGAGCTCGATGGCTAGTTAGCCGTGGAAGAAACATGGGGAGGGCTGGAGGAGTGGCTCAGGGGTTAAGAGCAATGGCTGCTCTTCCAGGGGTCCTAGTTCAATTCCCAGAAACCACATCATGGCTCACAATCAGCCATAATGTGATCTGATGCCCTCTTCTGATGTGCAGGTGTACATGCAGATAGAGCATTATTATATTATATACATAAAGTAAATAAATAAATCTTTGAAAATGAGAGAGAGCCTGTTTGGGCTGGAGAGATGGCTCGGTGGTTAAGGGCACTGGTTGCTCTTCCAAAGGTCCTGAGTTCCTAGCAACCACATGGTGGCTTACAACCATCTATAGTGAGATCTGGTGCCCTCAACTGACTTGCAGGTGTACATGCAGGCAGAATGGTGTATACATAATAAATGAATCTTTAAAAAGAAAGAAAGAAAAAGAGAATAAATAAGGACAATGTTACCCTCCGCCTCCACACACATGTACCTAAACATAGGAACACACATACATATAAACACCCACACCCACACACACACACCAAAACACTAGATATTTTAAAAAACTAAAACAATGTTAAACTTAATCAAGTGTTTTCAAAGATTAGCTTTTGGTGACTTTATAAATGGTGCAAATAGTGTGATTAAGCAGAAAACAAACACAATAACAGGTATTTTCGTTGCAAGTATACAGCTATATGTCCACTGATAGACTGGAAACAAACAAATAATTTAGTATACAATGACTAGATTTTAAAAGTATCAGCAGCCAACTACTGAGCACTTCCGTGGAAGACACTGGGCTACGTGGTTAGTTCAATTTGCCTGTCATCATCTGAAAGAGGTTGTCTCAGATTCCCAGCCAAGTGCACAAAATACCGGTAAGACAGGCTAACTTCTTGCTCTATTGAGTAGACAATCTGGAATCGTGTTTGGTTCGGATCCTACCCGTTACCAAATCCTAATGCCAAGGAACTGCAAGTCAGAAACGTGACAAATTCTAAGCCTGAAACGTGATCCTTCACGGCCCATCTGACAGTTCCGCACAACCCTTCCTCAGGAAAGAACACCTTCCAGTACCTGCGGTGGTGGACTTTCCAACGCCACCCTTTCCAGACGCCACAACAATAACTTCTCTAACACCTGCTATGGGCTTCTGCTTCGGAAGTCCTCGGGACATGATTTGTGTTCTTCTTTGTTTCAAGGCCTCACTCTCGGCGCCTAATAACTTAAAAAAAAAAAAAAGTGATTTCAATCAATCATCCTCGGTACTGGATGCTATGCTCTAAAAGTGAAAACAATCCAGAGTTTGGGTTTTAACAGGGTTTTCTTTTCTAAATCTGTTTGTTCGTCGCCACCGATTTATCCTTTAAGTGCTATTTATTGAGTGTTAATGTGAACTGCAAAGATAAATTGTTTAAACTGAAATTTGTCTGCCAGGATAGGTGAGGATGTTAAAAAATGTGAAGTGGCCTTTTTCCTGAGGTAAGCTCTCCACATACTTCCCTTCTCTTTCACCTATTCACTAATAACCTCCAGGCAAGAGAGAAGTGTGCACGCCACGTCCATGCTCAGGAGAGTCTGGGGACCACAAGCCCCAGCCACCCCCTGGAGGGCCCGCTGGCAGGAACGCGCAGGCGCCTGCGGTCCGGCCCGCACCACCCCCGCCCGCTCGGCACGCACCTGGAGCCCACAACCCACAGCTCGGCAGCCCAGGGGCGGGACGGAGGCCCCGCCACCACCCCGGAGTGACGCCCGGCCACAGAGCAACAAACGCCGCCAGGTCCCCATGGCGCGCAGCTTTTCCCGGGCCCGGTGGAAGCGCTTCGCGCCGGGCGCGGAGTAATGACGTCACGTGGCAACCCATAGCGTCCCCTGCCTGGAGACGAGCCGGATGGGTGCTTCTTCAGCTCAGGAACTCTGTTTTAATTCTGATTGTCACCAACTACAAACATTTTTGCAGCTTCTGACCAGATATTACCAACGCCTTTTCAAGTATAACATTTTATTTTATCCTTCCATAGTGAACAAGAAGACTTATTAGATTTTTTTTTTTTTTGGATGTTTGGAGGGTGGCTTTACGCTGAGAGGATGAATCCAGGGTTTCGGTCACACTAGGCAAGCACGCTACCAAAAAGCTACATCGCCAATCCTCTTTTTACTGATTTAAAAGCTGAGATTTAGAAATTTTAGTAAGATTTATCCCATCTTAACAGAAAAGAGAATTGCTGGAACTTGAAGATTTAAGTTTTCCTTATTGCATAGTACTGGATGTGTCATTTAAATGCTGCCACTGTTGAAGTTTCTGCATGCCTCATACTATATATGGTCACTTCAACAATGCCACTGTTAAGATTTTTACACCACACACCCACTGCGTGTGCCCTGCAGTACGACACCGTGCTAAGCTAGCCACCGCTTTGTGCTTGTCTTGCTGACGGTTCACAAAGGACATGAGGATGCTTTACTAGATTCAAAAAAGTTTAGCTAAATCAGAAGATAGGATGAATAAAAGATGATGAGAAGGAACTTCAGGGCTGGGCTAGCGATATCGAGTTTGTGTAGCATATGAGAGGCCCTGGGTTCAATCATTTGCAAGGGGAATGGAGTGAAAACGGAGCTTGAGGAAGGGAGGGGGTGGGATTTATCCTGGTGGAAGTAAGACTGTGTACATGTAGATTTAGAGACTCATCACTATGTCTAAGACAGATGAAAGAGAGAAAAATAACTTTGAGAAAAATAACTCACAAACTTATCCACACACTAGACCCAATCAAAGATGGCCAGAGGAATGGCTACACTTTGCCTTCAATAATCTCCAGAAGACTTTCTAGGGAGGGTTTTCATTTATTTCATTCGCTTATTTGTATTTGTCATATCAAAGATTAAAAATCAGTTTGTTTTTCTCTGATCTAATTCTTAATCTTAATATCTTTATTCTAGGCATAACAACATCAAAGAATTGCCTTAAGGATTAAATATTTCTAGAGAAGTGCATTCCATTTCTTAAGCTTTGAAAAAGCCTCCGGTTCTTACTTACTCCCCCTCAAACTCCTGCCCTTTTTGTTTGGTGCTCTCTGCCTTCCTCCTGCCATGACTCTTTTGGCTTGCCTTCTCTTACATGTTCTTTTGCGGCATGTTTTCTCAAATGATTTTAGATTAGTTCCCAGCTCAGTTTTCATAAATGATAAGCAAAAATCAGCTTAAAAATAAACTGTATACAAAATCAACTCAAAAAAATCAGAAGCCCTCCTGTATACCAAAGACAAAAGGGCCGAGAAAGAAATAAGGGAAACAACACCCTTCACAATAGCAACTAATAACATAAAGTACCTTGGAGTGACTCTAACCAAGCAAGTGAAAACCTCTTTGAGAAAAACTTCAAGTCTCTGAAGAAAGAAATTGAAGAAGATATCAGAAGATGGAAAGATCTCCCATGCTCATGGATTGGTAGGATTAACATTGTGAAAATGGCCATCCTGCCAAAAGCAATCTACAGATTCAATGCCATTCCCATCAAAATACCAAAACAATTCTTTACAGACCTTGAAAGAAAAATTCTCAAATTCATATGGAGAAACAAAAAACCCAGAATTTCCAAAACAATCCTGTACAACAACAGAGCATCTGGAGGTATCTCCATCCCTGATCTCAAGCTGTACTACAGAGCAATAGTAATAAAAACTGTATGGTATTGGCATAGAAACAGAAAGGAGGATCAATGGAACCAAATAGAAGACCCAGAAACAAACCCACATATCTATGAATACTTGATTTTTGACAAAGAAGCCAAAACCATTCAATGGAAAAAAGACAGCATCTTCAACAAATGGTGCTGGTCCAACTGGATGTCTACATGAAGAAAAATGAAAATAGATCCATACCTATCACCCTGCACAAAACTAAAGTTCAAGGGGATCAAAGACCTCAACATAAAACCAGACACATTAAATCGGTTAGAGGAAAAAGTAGGGACGACCCTAGAACTCATCGGCACAGGAGACTAACTACTTCCTGAACAGAACACCAACAGCACAGGCTCTAAGAGCAACAATAAATAAATGGGACCTCATGAAACTGAAAAGCTTGTGTAAAGCAAAAGACACTGTCATCAAAACAAAACGACAGCCTACAGATTGGGAAAGGATCTTCACCAACCCTTTATCTGACAGAAGGCTAATATCCAGTATATATAAAGAACTCAAGAAGTTAAAAAGCAACAAATCAAGTAATCCAATTAAAAATGGGGTTTGGAGTTAAATAGAGAACTTTCTGTAGAGGATATAGAATGGCAGAGAAACACTTAAAGAAATGCTCAACGTCCTTAGCCTTCAGGAAGATGAAAATCAAAATGACCCTGAGATTTCACCTTACACCCATCAGAATGGCTAAGATCAAAAACTCAAGTGACAACACATGCTGGAGAGGATGCGGAGAAAGGGGAACCGTCCTCCATTGCTGGTGGGAATGCAAACTTGTACAACCACTTTGGAAATCAATCTGGTGCTTTCTCAGACAACTAGGAATAGTGCTTCCTCAAGATCCAGCTATACCACTCCTAGGCATATATCCAAAAGATTCTCAAGTACACAACAAGGACATTTGCTCAACCATGTTTATAGCAGCTTTATTCGTAATAGCCAGAACCTGGAAACAACCCAGATGCCCCTCAGTTGAGGAATGGATACAGAAATTGTGGTACTTTTACACAATGGAATACTACTCAGCGATTAAACATGAGGAAATTGTGAAATTTGCAGGCAAATGGTGGGACCTAGAAACGAAAATCCTGAGTGAGGTATCCCAAAAGCAGAAAGACACACATTGTATACACTCACTTATATAAACCTATAAGATAGGACAAATATACTGAAATATATACACCTAAAGAAGATAAACAAGAAAGAGGACTCGGGGTAAGATGACCAATCCTCACTTAGAAAGACAAATGGGATGGACATTGGATGTAGGAGAAAACAAGAAACAGGACAGGAGCCTACCACAGACGGCTTCTGAAAGACTCTACCTAGCAGTGTATCAAAGCAGATACTAAGACTCATAACCAAAACCATCAGCAGAGTGCAGGGAATCATATGAAAGAAGGGGTGTTAGTAAGATCTGGAGAGTACAGGAGAGCCACAAGGACAAGTATACCAGGGCACAGGGGTCTTTTACGAGACTGTTCCTCCAACCAAGGACCATGTTTGGATATAACCTAGAACCCCTGCTCGGATATAGCCCATGGTAGCTCAGTGTCCAAATAGGTTCTCGAATAAGGGGAACAGGGACTGTTTCTGACATAAACTCAATAACGAGCTCTTCCACTCCCCTCCCACGAGGGAAGAGCAGCCTGTCTAGGCCACAGAAGAAGACATTACAGCCAGTCCTGAGGAGACTTGATAAGCTAGGGTCAGATGGAGGGGGAGAAGGTCCTCTGATGTTAGTGGACTAGGAAAGGGGCAGGGAGAAGACGAGGAAGGGAGGGTGGGATTGGGAGGGAATGAAGGAGGGGGCTACGGCTGGGATACAAAGTAAACCTATGATTAATATAAAAAATAAAAAATTTTAAAAAAATAACAAAAAAATAAACTGTAAACTGTCACTATAATCTGTTCAGTATCAAATGCTTACTTATAAGCAACCCCTGTGTGCCGAATACACTAGTCTTACAGTGTCCTACATTGCACCAAATATAACATCTCCCCTAAAAGATATAGTCCAGAGCAAACAAAGAGCAACGATTATGGTATGATACGTATAAGAGAAAAGTGCTGAGCACTGCAAGAGGCCCCTAGTCAGTTAGGAGATGTCCTGGATGAGGACACAACTGCAGTGAATCCTGAGTGGCAGCGAGCTGGGAAAATGGCTTTAGGGTTGTTGTACAAACACAGCAAATGGGCTGATAAGAACTGCCAATGCACACCCACAAAAATTTATAGTTATTATGTCAGTTAAACATAAAAGACAGGGCTGGAGAGATGGCTCAGGGGTTGAGAGCACTGGCTGCTCTTCCAAAGGTCCTGAGTTCAATTCCCAGCAACCAAGGCCAGCCTGGTCTACAAAGTGAGCCCAGGACAGCCAAGGCTACACAGAGAAACTCTGTCTCAGAAAAAATGATAATAGTAGTAGTAGTCTTCCTAGTAAATAAATAAAATAAAAGTCATAAAACAAACCAAAAGCAAGAATTACAAATAATCTTAGCAATTTTTTAAGGATAGAGTGACTAAAGGGATATAAATGGACAGATAAACAGGGTTTTTTGGTGATGGTGGGTTTTGGAGGGGGTGCACTTTTGGAGTTTGATTTCGTTTGGTTTGGGTTTCAAGACAGGGTTTCTCTGTGTAGCTCCGGATGTCTGGAATTCATCCTTTAGACTAGGCTGGCCTCCAACTCAGAGATCTACCTGCCTCTCCCTCCTGAGTGCTGGAATGAAAGGCCTGCAACACGGATGAGATAAATAGGTTTTAAGTGGGACTGGAACATGAGATTCATGTTTTAGAAATACCGTTATAAGGATGGAACCAAATATACGGCATGAACATAGGAGAATGCTGAGGAAGACAATAGGACTAGCAGGAGAGGAAAGGGAAAATGTGAGAGGGTTCTGGGAAGTGAATGAAAGTACATGATATACTTAAACAAAATGGCATTAATGCATTACTGTTCAGCTTAGTAAATCTCCAGAAGAGGAAAGGAGACATTATTGCTTCTTCTACCACAGCCGCTGTTCCTTTCAGGCATACCCACGCTCCCTTCTCAAAATATTTGCCTAAGAAAGCCAAGTTGTTTGGCCCAATTTCCATAACAATACCTTGTTGAAAG